TTTTCTCATGGTTGACTATATCCCATCATCCATTTATGACAATAACATTCTATCTTTTCTTTTTCTTCTAATATATTTCTCTTTTCTTCTCCTTTTACTATATCCATAAATATTGGTGATGAATATATTATTATTTTAATATTAACCCCTTCTTCTCCTTTCTTTTCAAGTATTTCTTTTAATGTCTTCCCTTTTAATCTATGTGTTCCTCTTCTTATTAAAATTATCTCTGGATCTATTCTCCAATCTGTTATATATATACTCTCTTTAGCTTCTTCTATCCTTTCCGCAATCTCTTTCATCGTTTCTTCTCCATCTATAAGTTCTTTAACTTCATTCCCATTACTTGGTACACAAAATACTGGTTTCTCTCTTACAAAAACTCCTTGTCTCCCTTTCTCTTCTATCTTCCCTACAATTCTTTGATCTTGTTTCTTGTGAAACATTCGAATCATTAATCTTTTCATTTCTCTTCTTTTTTCTCTTTCTCTTCTTTTATCTCTTTTGTCTTTTCTTCTCATTTTCTCTTTTTTATTCTTTCCCTTTAGATTCAATTCTCCTTTTCTCCTCTTTTCTTTCCTTTCTTATTCTTTATCTCTTCTTTTATTCTCTTGTGTTTCTTTCTTACTTCTTCTATTTCTCTCTTTTATCTTCTCCTTCCCCCACCCCTTTTTCTCTCTTCTTTCTCTTTTTCTTCCCCTCTTTTCTTCTCTTTTTCATTATTTCTTTGTTTTATCTCTTCTTCTCTTATCTTTCTACAATTCTCTTCTTCTTTTATTCTTCATTTCTTTCTTATTTTCTGCTTCTTATCTTTTCTTCGTTGTCTTTCATTGTTACCTGATTACTCATCTTGCAAGTTTCGATTGAGGAACCTTTTGTCAGCAAGTGAAAAAGAATATTCGCGGGTTTGTGGCCTCTGCTACTTGGCTTAGTCATTTGTAGAGTAGAGTAGGTTGTAGAAAAATAATAAACTTAGGTTTTATTTATTTTATTTGAGATGAAAAAGTGAATTAGAAAACTTTTATTTTATATCAAAAATAAGCACGTTATTCTTTCTGCTGCATTGAGAAAAAAATAGTTTTTGTAACCAAAAAATGGTTCAACTCAATTCAATTATAATAATACTTAGAGTTTATTGAAGGAAACAATGTCAACAGATTGAACATAATCTTCAAGACCTTCGATTTCTTCTTGAACAGATTCAGTATCAACTGAGTCTAAAACGTTGCAAATAATAGTAAGTTTCTTAATACCATAAGCAACATCTTTTCTTTCTGATCCTTTCCATTCAAGTCCTTCTCTTGTAATAGCTCTAACAGCTGCTTCCATTTCGTCAAGGTTTGTATCTTCTCCCCATGGTTTAATATCATAAACAATTTGAGATTGTCCAACTGGTTCAGCTTTTTTAGCAGCTTCTTTGGCTTCCTTTCTCTTTTTTTCAGCTTCAATTTCTTCTGGGGTCATTTCTCCGAATAAGTCCATATCGTCAGCCATTATTCCTTCTATTTGATTAATTACTTTTAGTTCTATCACTTATATATTCCTGGGTTTTTTCTTTTCCTTTTTTCAATCTCATAATTCTATTTTTTTGTAGTTTTGTTTAATAAAAATATAGTTTCTTTATCTTAGGTTCATTTTTTAGTTCATGTTATTTTTGGAATATCTAGGGTTTGTTATTATTATTCTTTGATTGATTGCAATCTTGTTGTCTTCTCTTCCTCTTGATAATTATTCTTTTATTCTTTCTAATTGAAAACAGGTATAGAATTGTTTAGTTTAGAAAAAGCTTGAATAGTAGTAAACCACCTTGAACCAAAAAATAAAATATAAAAGATAGAATGAGAAAATAGTTTTAGTTTAATGGATATTTAATTCCTGTTATTTCTTCAAGTTTTAAAAACAATTTCTTTCTGAAATCTAAATCATAAGCTTGCTTTTCAGCCTTCTCCTCAACTTTATTGACAAAATACTTTCCTCTAACCTTTTGAAGATCTTCGTTTGTTGCTAACCAATACTCATCATCAGCTTCTCCTACTTCAATGCCACATTTTCCCCAGCTAAGAATTAACATTTTAGTATTTACTGTTCCTGGATCTAAAGTATTAATCCAAAGATCTGGGTATCGTTCTGTTAATTCAAAAGTAAAAGCAATAACACTTAGCTTAGAATAGTCATAAGCCCTATACCCATCATAATTTGTTTTGTGTTCTATTAAATCTAAATCCATATAAGATGGTTGAGAAATACTTCCTACTTCAATAATTCTTGAATTTAGTGTTTTTCTAATTAAAGGGAGAAGTTTACAAGTAATAATGAAAGGAGCTAAAACATTAACCGCTAAAGTCATTTCGTGTCCGTCAACACTTTCTTGACGTTCTAGTATAAATACTCCAGCGTTATTCAATAAAAGATCTAATTTCTGATATTTTGATAAAAGTAAATCACACATCATTTTTGTGTTTTTAATTGATTGTAAGTCACACACCACAAAATCTAAGTCAGCCTCAGGGACTTGTGATTGAATGATGTTCATTGCTTTATCTACTTTTTCTTGAGTTCTTCCATGGATAATGACTTTATACCCATCTCGGGCGAGTTTGGTGGCAGTAAATAAACCAATTCCATCTGTTGAACCAGTAACAAAAGCGACTTTTTTTTCATCTGTCTGCATAATGAACAATAATCAAATTTTTTGTTGATTTTTTCATTTTCATTTTTGTTTTCTTTTATGTTTTATGTTTATTTAGAATTGCCCCTTAAATATATTACGTTAGTTCGTAATATCCAAAGAAAGTAGTTCAGAAAATATGGTATTTGTTAAAAATAGAATAGTTGAAAAGTTTAATTAAAATAACTTTTTCCTTTTTTAAATTATTTTTATTACATTGTTAACGTATTATCAAAAAATACTCTGGAAACAAATTGAGACATGAGCCCTCTAGTGTAACAGTGTTGCAAAAGAACTCTATGATGGATGCAGGGATTATCAAAATCAATTAAACAATCACTTCTTAATAAGAAGAAAGTCCTTGTGGACATATCTTTTAATTCACTTTTGTATAAAATAAAAAGAGAATAAGTAAGTTTAAGAAGAAATTAAAGAAAAACAAAAGAAAGAAGAATGATAAAAAAAAGGAAGAAAGGAATAAAGGCAATGATAAAAAATTAACAAATAATAGATATAAATAATTATCCATAATTAGATTTTATGATTATTGAGAAGTGATTGTTTCAGTTTCTTCAATATGCTCTATTTCTATAATAGAGTTCATTTCAATCATGTGAGAATTAGAAGGTTCCTCTTCTAATGTGTTGCCAGTGTTGAATGTGTAGAACATTAAGTCTTTCATGTTTTTAATAATAATTGTTCGTAGTATTTTGGGGAGGTTGATTTGTAATTTTAGTGATTTTAATCTTCTTACTGTTTCTTTATGTATTAATTTATTGTTAATATTACAGGTATTATTTCTACTTAAATTAATTCTCTACTTTGTATTAACTTCTCTTGTAATTCTTTGTATTTATTTATTTTGTAAATATAATTTAATTCGATGTTTCTATCTTGACATATGGCGACATCATTAATATATCATTTTTTATCTTTGACGTTTTGATAATATATATCTGGTCTTCTAGCATTAAACGAATGGTCACTAACCAATAAATCTTTATTGTAAGTTATAACTATTTCATTATTATTAATACACTTAGGAGGGGCATTAAAATCTATTTCATCAAATTCATTAAAATATGTAATTAATATATGTTTATATATTTGTTTACATACATAATCGTGTTTTGATATTTGATTCTTCTTCATTACATCCTAACAAAATATGAATAATAGATGCAAATGTGTTAGGACAATGTTTACAATATTTTAAAGCATCACAATTAAGTATTTTAGATTTAATATTTCCTGTCATAGTTACTCCTTCTTGCATCTTTACTACTTGGAGGAATATATTTCTTTTTATATTTAATGACATCCATGTGGTTACTGATAATTTCTTATTATTAAATATACAATTTACATTTCTTATATATTCACTACATTTCTTTCCATTTAAATATCTTTCATTTAGTTTATTTGTTACAAATTCAAATACATTGTTTACATCATGTTTTCTTTCGTTTAACTGTATTATATTCATTCATTGAAATTAATATTCTTACAAAATGTTCTCTTCATTCTTTTAATTATTCCATTTGGATTCTCTTTTACTGCCTCTATCATTTCTCATATTTCTGTATTTGATATTATATTTTAAATATATTCTTAATAATTCCTTAGCACATTCATCTCGTGCTGACATTAATCCCATTCCTAATTCATTTATTGTAACATATAATCTACTTTTATTGATGTTTCTACTGTATAGTTGGAGTTGTATCAATGATTTTCTTATTTGTTTATCTATATTCTCCAACTCACCAAGTTTCCATTTAATAATACAGAATCAATATCTTAATTTGGAGATTATATCATTATTAATCTTTCTAATTGTATTGATGCTATTATATTTCATAATATTTAATGATGATAGAATAGAAGATACATCATTTAATAATCTTGTATAATATTTATTAATATTTATTTTATCTCCTATTTCAATACCAAGATATTTATAAGGGTTATCATTAGTTACTCTTAGTAATTCAGCTAATTCTCCATTTATCTGACCATTGATATTATTCATTATCCCACTCTTTTCTACATTTATTTTTAGTCCTATTGCATTAAATATTTCATTTGTTAATTTGTGTGTTTTTTTTCCATTTCTTCGAGGCTGTTAGTTATTATATTTAAATCGTCAATATATAATATGTGGTTTAACTGGACTTGTTTTTCTTCTCCATTCATTTTAATAGATAACTTATTATTTTGTTTATCTAATTGTTTAGATAATATATCAATAAATAATACAAACAATAATAATTTAGATAAACTATCACCTTGTATTATTCCTCTTTCTACATTAATTATACATACATTTTGTTGATTATAATATAAATATAGTTGTGTAATAATTAATATATATAATATACTTTTAATTACAACTAATGGGATGTTAAAATAAATTAAACAATGTTTAACCCATTGATGATTAATACTATCATATGCTTTAGAGACATCATAATATGTTTCTACCCACTTCCATTTAACATTAAATAATAATTGAATGATTATATTATTGTATAATAATCATTCTTTTGATGCATATGTGTATTTTTTACATCCAATTTGATTTTGTGATAATTGTTTTTCAATTTGATTTAGCATCAGTTGGCTTTCTATTTTCATCTTTAATAAAGATGTATATACTTTTAACATACAATTTAAACAAGTTATTTGTCTGTAATTATATTTATCTAATTTATCTCCTTTCTTGTATATTAATATTGTTCTTCATTGGATAAATTGAAGAAGGATATCACCATGATTATACAATATTTTATTAAATAATTTTAATAAGAAATTGTTTGGTTGTTCTAAATATTTAATCCAGAAGCATTGTATTTTATCAATTCAATGTGATTTCCAATTAGCAATAAATTTTATTGCATGATTTAATTCATCTAGAGTGATTACGCACCTTCTATTATTAATTCTATTTTCAATTAATATGTCATATAAATTAATATTTATGAAATCTATATTAGTGTTATTTTCATAGATTCCTTTCCAGAAATTAATTGTAGTAATATTATCTGGATATTCATCTTCTTTATGTTTATTTAGAAGTTATCTCTTTCAATATTTTATCATTTTATAATTCTATCTTATTCTTTTCCAATTATTCTTACTTCTATTTCTATTCTTTTCATTCTTTGGAGGTATTTGTAATAATTTATTTGCTCATTTGTTTTTACTTTAATATGATATATATCATATTTTTAATATGTAATATTCTTTTTAATTTCATATATTGGTTATTATGGAGCAAGTCTCTTAATCTACATATTTTTGATTGTAGTATTCTTTCTATACTTCTCCTTCCACTTCTTTCTTGATTCTTATTAATAATGATGTTAATAGTTGATGTTATAGTTTTAATATAATGGTAGTAATCATCTAATGTATTGATTACTATTTCATTTGTATTAATGATATTAATTATTTGATGTATTTTGTTTTTATTGTAATAATAATTAATAAATTATACATTTTCTTGTTATTTCATATCTTCTTCTTTATTTATTCTTATTACTTCTTGTATTTCTTATTTCTTATTTATTCCGGCTATTAATTCTTTTAATTCAATATCTTTCCATTGGTGTGTTATTATTTCTTCTTCCATTCTTCTATTGACTTCAATTTTATTTTCATTCTTTATTTTATATGTTTTCTTTAATATTTCTTTATATTCATTAATATCTTCTATTTTAATATCAATTTCATGTATTAATCTTTTTATTTCTTCTTCTTTAAGTTAATTCTTAATTTTATTTCTAATAACTTCAATGCAAAACATTTATAGAGTGTTAGAATTTATTCTTCTCTATTTGTTTGATTCAATTATTTTTTGATTGTCATGATCAGATGTGGTGATCTTCTTATGCTGATTTCACATCTATCCGATTGAATTCTGTATTAACTTTCTTTTTTGGAAGATCATCTTTATTTGATGATATTTCATCAGTTACTACAACATTAGGGGTGATGTCATTCACAATTTGTGTTTCAGATGAGTCAGATATAATGTGATTTATCTCATCTTTCTTCTTTTCTTCTTGTGTAATTTTATTTTGTAATTTAAATAATTTATCTTTCAAGAAGTACACTTGTTGTGATAAATTGTTTAATTCAGACATTTTCCTTTCTGATTCAGCATGGAATTCGAATAATTTTCTATCACTTTCTTGTTTTTTAGTGTTTATCTCCTTCTCATGATTCTTCTTTAATGACATAATGTCATTTGATAATTTATTAATGGTCTGGTCATTCTTTTGTATTTCTTCTTTTCTTCTTTCTCTTTAATAGCCTCCTCTATTCTTTTCTTTAATTCTTTTATCTTTTATCTTTTTCATTCTTCTTTTCTTCTTCTTCTTTTAATTTCATATTTTCTTTTTCATTAAGTCTCTTCTTATCTTCAGTAATTTCATTTTCATCATCATTTTCATCATTGTATATTTCTTATTAAAGTATTTATCATTTATTTCTTTTTGATTTAGTTGTTTGTCATCTTCTTCATTTGTCATACTGATAGTTTCTCCATTCTATTCATTTTTGTTTTTTCTCTTGCAAGTAAATACCATCTTCTCATTATTGTTGATGGTGTGTATTCTTTAATCTTAGTGTTCTTAATTTCTTCTATTTCTTGTGGTGTAAGTATTTTAATTTCTTCTTCAAATAGTCTTTTCAAATATTCTTGGTTTTGTATTTCTATCATTTCTTTTATTTCTTATTTGTCGTTGTCTTTTATTATGGTATTGTTTATATCTGTGTTGTGTTTTATTATGTGATTTATTTGTATTATAGTACTGATTGTTTCTATTTGAATTATTGATAAAATACTTATGATGATGAAAATAATTGAAGTGATGAGTGAAACGATTCATACTATTATTATTATAATTGTTATGATAATTGTTATGGTGATAGTTATTAATATGGTAATGATTAATGTATTTCTGTCCATACAGATAATACGTGTTTTCACTCATTCTTCTATCATTTATATTTCATGGTTGGTATGGATTTCTCCTTCTTTTGTTATTGATTTTTTATATTTGTGGTTTCTCCTGTAATGCTTCAACATTGAAACATAAAAATAAAAAACAAATAAAATATAAAAAATAAAAAAGTATGAAAAAAACTTTATTTAAAGAAGAACAATAATCATAAAAGAAATCATTAACTTTTAAACAAATATCCAATTTTCCATATTAAATTTTCAAAATAAAATTTTTTAGGTATTCTTTATTTTAGACCAATTTTTTATTTAAAAAGGTTGTCTTTGATTCTCTCAGTTATTTGAGAGAATTTATCAGGCGAGTATTCCTGTTATTAACTCAAGTAAGTTGTGACTAGTATTTTTATATGAAAATTAATTCTATATAAATGTTTTAGATACAAGATGTCAAGTTTTTGAAATACTTTATTGGTCATATTCATAACGTTTATTGAGTGGTTATTTATTATTATCTAAACATTAAATTTTAAGTAAACAACCAATTGGTTGTTTAGTAAATAATTTTTGATTTAAATTGTCTCAAAATAACGTTTATAACAACACTTATTATTATTACAAAGAAGAAAGCCTCAAAAAACCCTCTCTTAACTTAGAAGGAAGAAAAAGAAATCAAAACCTAAAATCAATCCTGGTATTTACTCAATAACCCAAATCATTTACTCGTTTAGAAGCGAAGTTTAGTAAACAACCATGATTCTTTACCCTTTCTGTATTCTTCAGCAAATTGAGAGGAAATGGCTTTCTTTTGGGAAATTGGATAAACTTTACCAGCTTCAAAGGTGTTGATTTTAACTTCCTTAATAAGATTGAATTGATCAAGGCTAACTGTGTATTTAGTTGGCATAACATGATTAACATTGATAACCTTGCAGAATGATTTAACAGAAGTTCTCATTTGTTGGACTTTGGCAGACATTTTTCTAGTAATCTTTAATGGAGCTCTTTCAACACCAACAACAGTGACAAATCCATATTTTCTGTCTTTAGTTCCTTGAAGGTTGACAGAGGAAACAACGGCTTTCTTACCGGCGAATCTTCCTGAGAGAATAATAACAACACGACCTGGGGCGAGGATCTTGCTCATGTTTCACTCTTGTGCAAGTTTTATAGTTCAGAAGGGTATCTTTTTCATTTTGGGGTTTCCACTTTTGTTGCAATATTTTTATTATAATAATATTATATTATTTATTATTATATTATTTAATTTATGTTATTTATCTCACATTTTATTATTAATCATTAAATTTCTCTACTGAAGTTTTAAGAAGAACTTAAAATCCAATTTATCTTAGTAGATATGACAAAAATCTGCATATTAATTGATTGGAGTCAATCTTTTACTGATAAAAATGGTAGTTTCTATAGTGGTGCTTCACTTAATGAAAAAGAAAATGCCTGCTTATTAATTGAAAAATGCGATAAGGTTATTAGTTTTATTGACATACACTCAAAGGTATCAAAAGAATTTACTATCAATGGAGGTATTTATCCAGTCCATAATCTTGTTGATGAAGACCTTACACTTTCTCCAAGTAGTTTGTTCTTTTTATTACTTATTACTAATAAAATAAACTAAAAAAATTATATAGAAAATGCAAGTGCTCGTTTAACAGAAAAAATTCAAAAAAAAATTGAAGAAAAGAAATTAAAAAGTGGAGTTGTTATTCCAAATAATGTTATTTATCAAACCCCTGAACAACCGATGTCTGTTGATTCAATAATAAAAACATTTGACAAATTACCTTTAATTCATTCACCAGAAGAATGTCAATATGATTATATTGTTAGTTGTAAACATTTTTTTAATGGAACTGCTATGCAAAGAATTCCACAAGGAAATATTGTTAATGAATTCACTGCAGCTTCTATTCTTCAATATCAATATGGCACTGGAAAAGGATTGACTTTTTATATTTCAGGAGTTGTTACTGGAATATGTGTTATTCATACTGCTGCTGGATTAAAGCAAATGTTCCCAGAATCAACAATTATTGTTGTAAAAGATGCTTGCCATCCATTAATTGGAGAGCAATTTGGTATTTCTTCAAAGGAGCAAAACGATATTGTGGTTTGTGCCTTATGTACACAAATTGGAATTTTGTATAAATCTATCAATACTCTAACCTTTTAATTAAAAAAATATTTTTTAACTATTTTTAATATTTATTTCTTAAAAATATAAAATTTTTTATTGGAATAATTTTAGATTTGTTGTTTAGTAAGACATAAATTAATTAATGAGATTCAAGATTTCTTTAAGAAAATAAGTCCTCCTTTTTCTTTTGTTGGTTTTAATTGTCCTCCAGGACCACTAGACAATGGCCTTGGTTGTGTTTCTTGTTGTTGTTTTTGGAGAAGTGCAGGAGATGACATTCCTTTTCTTAAAGCACCTGGATGGTGTTGGAATTTTCTAGTAATCATTTCAGGAGTTGGACATGACTCATTAATTTCATCTAACATACAAGCACGTTCAAATAATGACATATTCTTATGATAATCTTTATCATTCACTGCTAATAATTTTTCACGACGTTCTTGAAGTTTTGAAGATTTAGCAAATAGCTTTTTACTCTTTTCAGCAAGTAAATCACTCTCTGGTTCATCTCCAATATTTTTATCATCTTTAATTCCAACAATTAATTCTTGTAAAATTGTTATTATTCCTTCCATTAAATAGTCTAATGAATATGACATTCCATCCTGGAAATCTTCTAAAACAACAGGGTGTTGTTTCCAAACAAATGTTTTAATGTCAAATGGTCGAGTAGTGATTTTCATAACAGCTCCATAATTTTTATAATAGTCACAATAATTAGGTGCAGAAAATATTGTAAAGACTTCTGAAAGATGTCTAGATGGATTGAAATATTTATGGTCTTTGAATCCATTGTCTTGGACTTGATGAGCTCTTACAATACAAAAAAGATCATTTGCTGCAAGAAATCTATTAACTGCTTTTTTACCATAGAGGTATGAAGTTTTTCTTTGTTTGTTTGGTTTAAAAGTTATTTCTTCCCACTCTTTACGACTAACTCCAAACCATTCTGGTGAGTCAGGGTCCCACTCTGAAACAGGATCAGACCATAATAAATCACATAATGATCCTTCACTTGGTGGTTCTGTAAATCTATTAATTTTCATAATATCTTCTAAAAGCCCAACGGATGGACTAAGACCACCATGCATACATAAAATTCTTCCATTAACATTTTGGTTAATTAAAGCACATAATGGCAAGCAATCAAAACAACTAACAAATTCATCATAAATTTTAATGTTATATTTGCTGTGACACTCTAATAAGAATGTCATGTATTCACACATTAATCTACTTTCATGATTTCCTCTTAACATTTTAATATTATTTGGATAACAAATTTTAAGGGCAAATAAATAAAATACAACTTCTGTACTAAAATCTCCTCGATCAACATAATCACCAAGAAATACAAATTTATTGTCTTCAGGACTTCCTAAAAGGTCCATAAAATTTAACATATCGTAAAATTGTCCATGAATATCTCCTACAATGATTGCTGGTGCATCAACTTCTAATATATTCTTTTCACTTCTAAAAATATCAGCTGCTTGACGAATTAATTTAACAGCTGCATAATTTTCTAATCTTCCTTGTCTCCTTAAGTGTTCTTTTAAAATTTTTAAATTAGGTTTACCATTAGGACCACTAAAAAGCATTGAACAGGTGAGAACACGGTCTTCTTGTGAGATAGTTTTCTGTTGAACTTCAACAGGTGGTAATGGAACTGTTTGTGGGTCTGAAACAGTTAATAAAGAGTTTCTATATGTCAGTCACTATAAAACAATACTTTAAATTGAACTCTTTCCGAAAGAAAATTATGTTACTAGATATGTTTTGTAATACTTTTTTATAAAAAATTAACAAGTCTTACTTTGTTTTTCTTTTCGGACTTAACTAACAAATGCAACAAACCGATAACTGTTTGATAAATTTATTGATTCAACGGGAATAGACTTCGATCGTGATCTCATGTTTTTTATTTGAAAGATGAGATGATCTAAATTTTTGATTGGTTGGATCCACGTTTTTATAGTCCATTCCTCTCTCTTTAATAACAAAAACTATTTTTTACTATATTTAAAAGTATCCTTCCGTTTCTTCCTAGAGCAAAGGAAAGAAACAAAAATCTCTCTCTAAACAATCATTTGAAAAATTTTTCGTTTTTTTTTTGTCAATAACAACTCTGTATTTAAGTAAAGAGAAAACAAATAACATGAGGATGTAGAGAGAAAATATTACTAGGAGTATAAAGTTTACTAATTGGATTTAAAAGAGTTGTTAACTTAAAAACAATAAAATAGTAAATGTATCTGGTTATTAATCTTATTTTTATCAAAATAATGTTAAAATAAAAATATAGAAGTATTCCTTTTTTCATATTTTTATATTTCTCATTATGAAACCAATAATGGTAGTTCGGTTAATATAACGCTTGTTGCTGTTACTCTGTTCATTATTAAATAAAGGTTTATCAATTTTAATAACAGACTTGTGGTACACTAGATTAATAAAAAATCACAGTACCTAATAAAATAAAAATAGTTAATAGTCTTTTCAATTACTGTATAGCATAAATTCCAAGCATATGAAATGAGTGACCAGCGAAAGACAAAGACCAAACTACAATAACTTTAATGATTAAATGGAAAATTTAATGTATTTAATAAGCATAAAGCACATTATTTTTTTTTAATATTAATAATTATTATTATACTACTGTTATGTTCAAAAATGTTAAAAAGGTAATTATTGTTGGTTACAATAATTACTCATTTTGTAGCATAGTTAGTAAATTGATATTCTCTTATAAATCTCAACTCCTTTACTAAGCCATTTCTCAATAAAAAAAATAACTTTTACATACAATCTAAAGTAAGCTTATTTCTCTATTTTTATTACAAAAAAACAGTTTTAATAATAGCTATTCAAAGAAAAGTTACTCGATTTCTCTGATACTTTCTTTGAAAAATTTATAACCACTAAACAACTTATCGTATTGACTCATTGAAAATATATTAGTGTTGCGTTGTATTTTTTGAAAGTTTTAATTATTAAAAACTATCCTTCTTTTCATGTTTCATGATTCTTTTACATACTATTTATTTGTCAATAATTTCCAAATTATCTTTGATTTAAAGAGAATCTTTTCAATACAACTTTATGTCTTTATAATTTTTAAATGTTAAGGTTATTATTCACCTATTCAGTTAATTTAATATAATAATTTTAATTTTTTTGAAAAAAATAAACAATGTTTCTTTTTTATTAATCTAATACTAATTTTTGGGAAAAGTTCTTTTATCTTTAAATACTTCAATGAATATCCTCTAAAATAGGATAGGTTAATTGGTACAATTGATTATTGCTTTAAAAGTTATTCACTGTTGAGTTGTAAAGTCTAGAAAAATAAGTATATTTGATTATTGATAAATTCTTCAATACCTCTATTTTTCAAAAAGGATAAAAATTGTTTCAATGCCAATAATAATAATAACAATAAGTATGTTTAAGTAATAAAAGAGAGTTGTTTTTTCATTTTTAATTCTGTTTCAACCAAAAAAATCAAATTATTATTTTTTCAACTCCCTATTTTTATTTTATTCTTGACTATGTTTTTGGAATTATTAATATATTTATTTGTCACTTTCTTTAAACAAATATTGTTCATTATTAAATTTCATTTGAACATCTTAAATGTTTTTGTAGAAAAGAAATATTTATTATCAAGTATTTAAAAAAGTGAGTTTCACATAAAAATTAAAGACAACTTTTATTGGAAGTTCTCCATTTTTGTCTAATTTAATGTACCCATAATTTTAATAATAATGATTATAAGTGTTTTATATAACATCAAAATAAGAAAAATTAAAAAATAGGGTTTTATAAAAAGTTAAAAGAAAAAAAACTAAAAAAAGAAAAGCAATGTCTGCTTAACTAAGACCAAAGCCCTCAATGTTGATGTTCTCAAGACTAACATTTCCAGAAAACATAAATTTGTTGCTGATGGAGTTTTCTATGCTGAACTTAATGAACTCCTTCAAAGAGAACTTTCAGCTGATGGATATTCAGGTGTCGAAGTTAGAAAGAATGGATCTAAATTCCAAATTATTATTAGAGCTACAAGAACTACTAACATCATTGGAGATAAAGGAAGAAGAATTCATGAATTAACCAATCTTCTTATTGCCAGATTTGGATTCCCAAAAGACAAGATTGAACTTTACGTTGAAAAAGTTCTTGCTAGAGGACTTTGCCCAGTATCTCAAGCTGAATCTATTAAATATAAGATTGCTGAAGGTCTTCCAGTCAGAAGAGCTGTTGGATCAGTCATGAGACTTATTATGGAATCAGGTGCTAAAGGATGTGAAGTTTCCATCTCTGGTAAATTAAGAGGACAAAGAGCTCAAGGAATGGTCTTTAAGGAAGGATATATGATCAAATCTGGTAATGCTACTAGACAATTCTATTCATCTGCTGTTAGATGTGTCCTCCTTCGTATGGGTATCATTGGTATTAAAGTCACTATTATGTTAGATACTGACCCATCTGGAAAGAATGGACCAGCTGCTAGAATTCCTGATGTTGTTGAAATTAAGACTCCAAAGGATGAATCAACTACTGTTAAAACTGAAGTTATTCCAGCTAACAAACAATAAGCAAATTGCTTTTTGATTATTTACTCCATTTAAAAAGTGTTAAAATAAAAAGATATATAAAACACATATAAATTGTTATTTTTCAAATATGTAAATAATTAAAAAAGAAAGGAAGTTAATTTATGAATTAATTTTCATTATTATAAACTCTGTTACTGGTTCAGACCATTGACCATCTTTTTTCTGATTTAAAAGTACACTATTATCTTTAATTGTAGGGAAGATTTCAGAAATTTCATCAATAATACTAACTCGTTCGTTACTGAATTGTATTCCACTGTTCATAGAATTAGTAACATTAATTAAAGGTATATCTTTGTTTTCATAAGTTTTATAGTCGTGAAAAGATAATTTAAGTTTACATTTTCCTTCACTAACAGGTGTGTATAAAATTCCATTTTTTGAAATGG